GAGAGAGAGTAGGTACCTGCCTATACAAGCACACCTGGGCATATCGAAACGGCGATACGGTAGCGATGATATTCGCAAACGCCACCATCGCCGATTTAGCGTGTTGACGAAGATTCCACGCATGGACAGCCGAGGCCTGCGCAGATCATCGGCGTCTTGTATACAAGGTTGAGACTGAATGTTGACTCCACGAATCCGACCCCAACCCCAACTCCAGAACACACAACGCCGCGAGGTGGTTGGCAGAGTGAGGTTTGCGGCATATATGATGCAAGTCAAGAAACTGTATGTCCCGGGGGAGGCTTGTTGGAAACGGACAAGGCACCTACCACTTCGGCACGGATTACAACACAAGTCTTGGTCATCTTTAGGCCCTTCCTCTTAGTGCTTGTCACAGCAATGGTGCCACAAGCCCGGCAGATCAGCAGCCCCGTGGCGGACTGTCCAACCCCTAGTAACCGTCTAGGCGGGGACCTAGATCGCCAGTGCAGTACGGAGGTGTGAGGGTTAAATAATCTGCAGTGGGGAGGTCACTCGTGAAGCGAGGGCAGGGGCCAGGGGTATGCACTAGCCAATCGATTAAAACGCGTGCGGGCGGATTCGAATTGGTGCTGCGATTGATGTTGAAAAAGAAATGTAGGCTAGGCCTTATTTAGTAAGGGCTGAACATGGGGTGCTCTTGGCGCTACTTCGAAAATGGCGATTTTTTTCGCCTCCTATCTCCGTACGATTTCGTGTCTCGTTGCCACTCCCTACCCAGAGTTACCTTCTCTCTGAAACCAACAGCAACCACCAGCGAGCTGCGCAGCCAGCAGACGTTTGCCAAGTGGCGTGATGGTTTTCAGCCCGAAGTTTCCAGGGATGCATGTTGACCAAAAGAAGAAAAGAAAAAACCGGCTGTAACAAGACCGCCAGCCGGCGCGAGCCATGCCATGCATGTGAACGGAGCACACTTCCGTATGCGTCGCGGGGAGCCCTTGTACGGAAGGGCCAGGCAAAAGGGTCCATCGGCCATGCACGCTCACGTTTCATATTTTCAAACATCGGTCGGCTCCCCAAAACCCCACTGGCTCGATCGGTTGCCAGTCGCCGGTTCGAGCAGATGGGATGGTCCATCAGTTCGTGACTGCCAAGTGGTAGTGGCCACAAGTGTTTTTTTTTTTGTTGCTCTTGTTGGCCATTCGCCCGTTGACTCTTTGCACTTCCGCTGGTGGCTTGTTGAGGACCACTACCTCGACAGACACGGGACCTTGATCACTCGCGAGCTGTCGGAGCCAAGCGTCAGGTCTAGAATCGCCGAGCCCACGACCAAAGCCAAGGCTGCGACTCCACCGCCGACCAGATTACGTCGTCAGTCGCGTGCCCCCCGGCAGGACGCACTAGGCGGTTGGTTGGCGCGGGCTGGGCTTATCGTCCGTGCTCGGTGGCGGCACGAGATACAGGTTGCATGCACAGGCCCAGGCGGTGATTCGACGAGCGCAAAAAGCACGCACGCACGCACGTACCAACGATTCCATCACGGATCCTCTGCTCAACCAGCTTCCTAGGGGAGGGCCCACACCACGACACACAACCGGGTCCGTTAGCTAAGTTTCAAACAGACAAAAACAGGTGCTAGGGCGGGCGCCATCCCTGTTCGCGCCCGTCTTTTTGCCGTGGGGCCCATCAGCTGTCACCGTCGGAGGACCCCTCCTCTGGCTCTGGCCCCCATGATCGCCATCTGTTCGTTCCCCCTTCCCCACTAACTCCCAGACCCTCCATTGGCCTGGATGGCCCCCAAGCACTGGTATCACACACGCGCGAGTGCGTTTACCTTATCTGATACATCGTTCCTTTGTGGCCACCGCCCGCCTCCTGAGGGGCAAGATGGGAGAGGAAAGAAGTCATCATAGAATGAAGAAGCGAGAACTGATGGCATCACCAAAGGGGGGAGGGGGATGCAAAGGCCACACCGAATAATAATCCTGGATAGGGTTTTTTTTGTTCTTGTTGTTATTGCTGTTGGCAACCTGGGGCGGATGTCGACAGTGCAGCAGATGGATCGCCACCCTAGCCCGCGCCGTTGTGTGGAAGATATAGATGGCAGATAGGGGTTGCTGTATGCCGTCCATGACCTAGTGCTGGCTGCACTCGAGGGGGGGTCCCGGCTCCGTCTGTCTGCCAGTCTCGCGCCGTTCCAGCCTCCTTATTCGTTCACGCCCCTAGCTGATAGGATCCTCACCAAGCGGCTTTGTGGGGGTTTCGATAACTTCCATTTATCTTGCTTCGATCCCCTCCACCACCTCGAGCTGCTGTTTGCAAACCTTGCCGTCTCCATACATACCTCTCTCCCGCCTCCCCAACCTCCCCGGCCCTCGTGCTCTTTTAGGGCTCTTGAAAAGACAAGAAACATTTTGTGGGTTGCGAACCCAAAGCCCGGGAAACACTCTGCAGCTTATAAGTCGATGTGGGTGCCATTCCCCGTCTGAATCTTGTAAGTCTCTGTCTTGCCCAGCCCTTGGAATCACACCTCCGCTTGCTTGCTACGATATTGTGCTCGGTTGGGCTGCCGGCGAACCACAGTGCTAACTGATAAGACGTCACCAAGGGGGGGACAGGCGCAAATCAAAGCGAAATTGCGTGTGGTGCGGCAGGCGTGCACCCACCGCACAGGCGAGCCCACCCAGGCGCTTAAAGCTAGCGAACCCCGCGATCGCACTGGCAGGGCCCAATTGCGACATCATGTCCCACCACATGGTCGCCATCACGGAGCTTGACCTCAGCAACTGTCGCCCAAATTCCATCACCGACAGGATTAACGATGTCCCGGGCCTCAAAACCAGCACTGGTGAGTTTGTGGCTTTTTTTTTCGGTCTTTCTCTTTCTTTCCCATATTTCCCTCTTGGTTTGATTGTCGGAGAAGGAACACAAGTTGAGCTCGAGGTTGCGGGTGGAACTTTAGGGGAAGTCCCCTCACTTAGACGCCTAACGGCAGCCAAAAACACGAGTCAACCCATGAGCCCCGACAGAAAAAAAAGACAAGAAAAAAAATCTGACCAGGCCTCGCACCTGAACCCGCAGCCTTCTTCACCTTCCTCCGCGCGAACCTCGTGCAGCCGTCCTCGGCCATGTCCTCTCGCGTAAACACCCCGCTGCTCGAGCCGCAAGCGACGAGCTCGCCCGGACGCCAGCTCCAGGACGACGACTCCGCCGCCGCCGCAACCACCACCTCCTCCTACCCCGCACCAACCAACCCTCTCCGCCAAGGCGGCGCCAAGACCGGGCCAGGCAGGCCGCCCAGACCCGGCGGCGGCGGCGGCGGCGCCCCGGTCCCCGACGACGACGACATCCCGCCCTTCTCGCTCGAGGTCCTGACGGAGCGGCGCGACCGCGTCGAGGCCCTGCGGCTCGTGGCCGACAGCGTCGCGCAGCAGCGCCAGCGCGCCGCCCTCTCGCTCGTGCTGCACCCGGCCTGCCTCGCCGGCCTGGCGCTGGCGCTGGCCGCGGCCCACCAGTTCGCCTGGGCCCGCCAGGGCCGCCGCGACGCGGGCCTGCTGCTGACCCTGGCGTCGGGCGTCGTCATGTCGTATCTGGTCGCCGTGCGCCTCCTGGCCTCGCGCTACATCGCCCTGGCCGAGGGCGTCGGCTGGCGCTTCCTCTCGCGCTCCTCCACCGGCATCGTGCCGCCGCCGCCCGCGGCCGACGGCGACGACGACGACGACGGCGGCCCCGTGCCAGATGGCTCCGACCTCGCCACCGAGGACGTCGTGCTGGGCGCCCGCTTCGGCGACGAGCTCGTCGCCGCCCTGGTCCTCCGCCTCGAGCCCCTCGGCCGGCCCGCGTCCTCCTCGGGCGACCGCGGAAGTGGCGGTGGCGTGGGGCCCGGCGGCCGGAGGAAGCACCGCACGTCGAGCCTCAAGGGCGGCCGGGGCGTCATCCGCGCGTGGACCACCAAGCTCCGGTACCGCCGCAAGGGCGTGGGCGGCGACATGCTGCGCGAGGCCGTGCGCGCCACCCGCGAGCGCTGCGGCCGCGACGCCGAGGTCGGCTTCGCCCGGGAGCACGCAAACAGCGTCATGGTCCTGCCCGAGATGTTCAACGGGCCCTTCAGGAAGACGGAGAGGAAGGCCGCCAGGGCCCTGGAGGCCATCCTGGTGGAGCTGGAGGGCACCAGGAGGAAAAAGTGACGGAATGGGTTTCCTGGTCTCCGTGTTTTGTCTCCTACAAGGCTTGTCTTTGGTTCCCTTGGCGAGGCACAGTCAAAATGTATGCCCAAGTACGTGTTGTGTGTGCCTGTTTATCCAGGCATTTATATAGATGAATACCCAGTTTCCTTGCCGTATTGAACATGGCAACAAGCAAGACAGGCTGAACCGGCCGAATCTCACTGCAAATGGACTATCAGTTGCGGCGGTCTCCTTACACACAGCACACAGTCCTTGTAGATAGGGTGACGGGACCACAGCATGCTTGGAAGAAAACCCTCATCCAGGCGCAGACACGGGAGGGAACGACCAGCCATGCGGCAAGACACATTAACGCAGTTCGGTGGGATAGCATTCACCAAAAAAATAATTTGTTGAGGCAGAGCGCTATTTAGTTCTGCAAATGCACGGAGCAATTACGAGTGAGGGCTAGGCCCATATAGACATTGCGTGCTCGCCAGAGGCCAAGCGAGCGGCGGCCGGCCTAAAAGTCAAAGTCGCCCCTGAACGACTCGGGATCGACGCCCGGGACGACCCTGTCGGCCAGGTCGCGGCGGCCCATGCCGGTGAAGACGCGGCGGAGGCTGTCGTAGAGGGTCGTGCTGCGGTTCTGCGTCGTCAGGCGGTCGAGATGCTCGTCCGAGATGGCGCCGCCGCCTAGGATCTCGCGCGCCCGCTCGCGCCCGCTCTTCTCCACTTCCTTGTGCATGGCGAGGGCGGCGAGCAGGTGGCCCGCGGCCTCGCGCTCGCAGTTCATGTTGATGCAGCTCACGCCCAGGTTGTAGCGGGCCCGGACAAAGTTGGGCCGGATCGACAGCGCCTTTTCGTAGGCCGAGATGGCGTCCTCGCTCCGGCCGCTGTTGGCCAGCGTGGCACCGAGGCGGTTCCACAGGAGGTGCACCTGGCCCCTCTGGTTGCTGGTGCCCTGCTCCGACGAGGCCAGGGCGGCGCTGAAGCAGTCTACCGCCTTGGTGTAGTCCTCGGCGCCGTAGAAGAGCACGCCGAGCCCGACCTGCACGTCCGGGTCCATGTGCTGGCCGTCGGGGGCCAGGCGCGCCGCCTGCAGGAAGAGGTCCGTGACGCGGTCGTGCAGCTGCTGCCGGTCCGTGAAGCCCATGTCGGCCGCCGCCGAGAGCTTGTCCGGCGGCGCGATCAGCGGGTACTTGGCCGACAGCCACCGCTCCAGTGTGCGGTGCGAGGTGCTGTCGTAGCCCTCGTTGGTGTACGATACGGCCAGGGCCATGAGCGCGGCCGAGTTGTTGGGGTCCAGCTTGATGGCATGCTCGAGCGCCCGGATCGCCGCGTCCTCCTTCTCGTTCTGGGCCTGTGCCGAGCCCAGCTGCACCCAAGCCTCGGCGTGCTCCGGGTTCGCCTGGACCGCCGCCTCGAAGGCCAGCGCGGCGAGCGAGAGGTTGCCGCCCTCCTCCATGATCCGCATGCCCTCGTCGAAGGGGTTCGGCTGGTCCTTGAATATGTTATCCTCCTCAAACAGGTACTCCTCGAGCGGTGGCGCACGCCCGAGCCGCCCGCTTGACAGATCCCAGTCCGTTGTGCGCGGGAACTCCATGTCGGCGTTTCCGGCCTGGATCCCATTCCAGATGGATTCGAAATCGCCGAATCCCGTCTCGGACTCGAGCAGCTCGCTGTCGAGCTTGTTTAGCTCGGGCTCCATGGCCAGGCTCTCGTCCTCCTGCTTCGCCTGCTTGTCCTCCAGCTCGATCTGGGCGAAGTGCTCCTCCCATTTTTGGTCGTCCAGCTCCACAACCTTCTCCTTACCCTTTCCCTTGACACTGGCCTCCTGGGCTGCCTGCGTGAGCTGCTCCTGCTGGGGATACATGGGCTGATAGAGAGGCCGCTGCATGGAGCTGTACCCCATTCCCATGCCCATTCCCATGCCCATGTTCATTCCCATAGGCACTCCCATCCCCATCCCCATACCTGATGAGTATCCGGTACTCATGAGTGGCCGCTGCTGCTGCTGATGGTGCTGCTGAAGGGGGGATGCGGCCGAGGCCGCCGGCCCCGACTGGTTCAGACGCTGGAAAGCGGCGAACTCGGCAGGGTTGAATGGTGCTGCCTGGGCGGCGGCTGCGGGGCCGGCGTGGCTCGCGAACTCGTCGGACCAGGCGCCGTGGGGCGAGGCCGAGCTGGCACGCATGTGGACGGCGTGGCCCGGGTCGATATGGACGTGGCCCATCGGCCCATGATCGAAGCTAAAATCGGGAAGCTGGGCGGGCGTGTTGACAAAGGCATTGAAGGACTGATGCGTCACGCAGCGCCATCTCGCGGGTTAGCAGCGGCGGCGGCGGCGGCGGCGGCGGTGGCCTGCATGAAGCGAGGGGGGCGGCGGCTCGGCGCCGCAAAGGCTTACCTCTTCCGAGGAAGGGCCGGCGGCCGTCACGCTGCGGAAGCTGTCCTGGGGGCGGGGCCCCCGGTTCATCAGCCTGTCGCGCTGCAGGGACTGGTCGTCCTGCGCATGCTTTGCGAGCTGGCTGAGCGGGTTGCCCGCCGTCGAGCACTCGGCTCCGCCTAGGAAGGACATGTTGGAGACGCAATCCCCCGCAGGGTCCTGTAGCGGATGTTTCGTAAGAGCCCCGACTTGCCGCCTCGTGTGCGCCGGGCCTGTGTTGGTTGTATGGCAGCAGCGCGCTCGATCGACAGGCCTCAGAGCATATAGCGATACCTCGAGCAGCTATTTGGGCCTCTTTTTCCTCTTGTCCTTTTCTCTCTCCGCTTTTTGGACGTGGCAACAGTCACGGCCTAGCGATGGTGCGTGGAGGTGAGCTGGACACGAATGATTGGCAGGCATGCAGTAGACCAGATGTGCCACCTGCAGAGGCTGTGCCAGCGGGCGGGCAGATAAACAACCAACCCGACTGCATGTGGGGAGATCCATGTGCCGCGGTTAGGGGACAGGCACAGCCGTGGTTACGTTAGCGGGCCGCCCCACAGCCAAAGAGCACAGCGCACAGCGCAACCTAGAGCCAAGAACCAGGCAGTGGCGCATCCACACAAGGCTTCCTGTCCGCCACACACAGAGTCGGCATCAAAACCACACGGCTTATCGACAACCGAAGGGCTTGCTAGTACAACAATCCAGAGAAGAGGGCATATATATTGACATACTTCGCGCCACTTGTCCCACGAGTCTTCACGCGCTGCCAGATGATATGAATCCTTTTTTCTCTCTTTTTTTTTGATCATACTACGTGATACCGACCTACCTATCCTTACACGCTCGCGGCGCTCCTTCGAATCCTCCACACATTAGCCACAGCCACTGCTCAGGAACAAAGAAATCCGGTGCCCGCAAGGTCGAGGTTGTTTGGTTTTGTTCTATAGTACATTGGATGGCACCCCCCCTCACTGCTCGTCCTCGCCCGAGGTCGAAATTCGGCGCTCGCCATCGTTGCCCTGGGCCCGCTTGCCCTGCGAAAAGTCGATGCGCAGTTGCCTGCCCAGGAGCGTCATGTCCTCAAGCTTCTGGCCGGCCGCCAGCGCGGCCTCCTCCGATGAGAAGTCGGCATGAGCGAAACCGCGGGGCCATCCCGTGCTGCGGTCCACGGCTATGCGCACATCGGTGACGTTATCCAGCGACCGGAAGAGCTTGTTGAGCTCCACGTCCGTCGTCTCGTACGGGATGTTGCCGATATACAGAGACTTCGTAGGAACCCTCTCTGCCAGCGGCAGGCGCTCACGAGCCTCACGAGCCTCGCCCTGGGAGCGATTGTCCTTGGTTGGCTTGAGGCGTGGCGAGGCGTGGATGCGGCGGCCGTGCCAGAAAGAACCGTTGGCCCCAGCCGCAGCCTTGTTCATGTCTTCAGCGTTCGTGAAGAAGACAAAAGCATACCTGTGCGCGTGTTTGTCAGCGACTTGTTATGGCAATGCCATATTACCGTCGACTTGTGCCACCGAGGTGGCATGAAGCCGGTGTCGGGACGTACCCTCTGCTCAGACCACGAACGTCTCTCGCGATCGAGGTCTTCGTGATCTCTCCATACTTGCTGAAAGCATCCATGAGGTGCTCCTCGTTGGCGTCGAAGACAAGGTTACGAACGAAGAGTCCGTACGGGGTGTCCTGACCCCTTACATATGGTCCAGCTATGTCGCAGAAAGAGGGCCGGGTCAGCAGTATATTCCGTGAGTTTGAGAGTTGTCTGTAGGCACAATACAGGCAGGAAGCTATGGAATTGCCGACTTGCCTTGTCCCTCACCCTCAGGTGTGGCAGACTCGGACCCCTCGGTCAAGCCCGCAGAGTGGTCTTCGCTGATGCCCTCTCCCTGGTCTACCGAATCGACTTGGTTTGCCAGCCAGCGCGTGGCCACAAAGGATCGCGAGAGGACGGCGGCTGAAGACAGGAGCAGGTTGGATCCAGTGGTCTTTGCCGCCAATGCCAGGCGCGGGGTTGCGACTACCGCCCGCGACGCATGGGTGGTAGCCGCTCGGAGAGTGGCACGGCGGATAGAATGCCTTTTCAAGAGACGGTGTTAGCAGCCAGTCCTGACCTGAGTGCATAAAAGCAGATATGCCTATTGTGGTAGAGCCGGACATTGTTCCTCCTGCATTGCGGCGGGCTGTGGCTCACATTTTGGTAGCTGATAGCGGATCAAGACGTCGCTTCCAACTAGGACAACGCAACGGGATGGGCGGCTAGTTCAAGGTCGCAACGCTGAGGCCCTTTCGACTGGCTAGGCTGATTGGGAGCTTGGTGTCGGGCGGTGGAAAATTTTGAAGAGGCACTGCTACTGAAGGCGCAAGAGAAGGGGAAAAAAAACGAACCTGAAAAAAATTATCCTCAAAGTGGCTCCCGTCCAAACATGAGATCAATTGCCTTGCGGGACATGTCCCCACTATATGTGGGCCGTGCAGGCCGCTTAATTGACGTCGATGGTGCGGCGACCCCAAAAAGTGAGGGGGTCTTTCTGACAAGGCCACACGATACGGGAGTTTGGTCCGTTCCGCAGCTGTTGAAACTCCTATCTGTCACCATCTTGTATCCCGCCATGAAGATGGCCCAAGCAGTGGGTAGCCACACGTTATTCGAAGAGCTAAGTGTTGTGGCCACGGAGCGCGCCATGTCATCACCTTCTGGAACCCTTTTCTAGCGGCGCGGGGCCTTTTTCCACTCGCTCTGGCTCTGCTTCCCTCGCCGGCGATGCCGGCTTAGAGAATATTGGTGGTGATCTCGCCGGACTACTAAAACCCAGACATCACGGCCTGTTGCAATGGGTGGCCACAATCTGGGCGTTCTCGAGAAGGCGTGTACTCTTTATGTCCTACCATTGGCGGCATGGGTATGTCAAAGATGTTATCGGAGCATGAATCGGGCTCGGATGGTGTCAAAAGATGGCGGCGATGCCGAGGGCACCTAGCAAGGGCAAGTCCGCCATATAGGGGCGATGAAGCGGAGTTCTCTTAGTGTATATAGAGGACTAGCCTAGTCTCGTTGCGTGTTGAAGGTTTCGACACGACAGACAGGGGGTTTTCCACCAAAGCAACTCGTCGGAGGACGCCGTGAGCTCGAGCCGTGATTATTTCATGGTGTTGCGTATGCCCCAGGCCGCGGGGCGTTGCTGTGGCTAAACTTAATGGGAGAGGTGAGGCGCCGTCGCTTTCGGGAATGGCATAGATTGTGGTCATTTCGAGCCACGGGCCCAGGGAGGTGACTGGCACACTAGGTTGGCAGGCGCTCATATGGGTGGAATCCGAATTATAGGTGCGCCCAAAGCCTCCAGCTTGTCCAGGCTCGGCATGGCCGTCCGACCACGCACGCGGGTCCGCCGCTCGTCGATGCAGACATGCCAGGTCCTCGCTTGGCTGACCTAGGGCTTTAACAGCCGGAACGAGTCGTGAACGCTATTCGACCAGTCCGGAAAAATTCCACGGGAGCCAAACCTGCGTTCCAGGGCCAAGCCGGATGAGGGCTGGGGGAGCGCTTTGGCCTCTGGCTGGCGCTTTGCTAGCTCGGTGCTAAAAGGCATGAGCGTGCGAATTTTCTGTGGAGGCGCACACCGGCGGCCGCGACATCCCTTTCAAGCACACAGGGAGCCGTCCCACGGTGGCGCCGATGGCGTCGAGATATCGCCGACTCGGGGACCAGCCGATGCGGACAGAACAGGCAACGGGGCAATGGATGTCCAGGAACGGCCCCAAAAGGGTCGTAAGGGCTACACACATATGCACTCGGTAAGCGCGGAAACCGAGGCACCGTCGGAGCGGCAGGACTGGGCGGCGCCGCCGCCAACAAGGAGCTCTCGGGTCGCACACCACGCAGTGCTTGCACACCCCTGCGTGTTCAGCCTCCAGAGCCCGTCAGCCAGTGATAGGCATGGGACAGTGAGCGCGGGGAGTGCGTGTCAAGGCCCAGCAGAAATGGGCGCGCTTGCTTTTTGCGAAGAATTGCGAACGCGACCATGGGTGCCCAGCAGCAGCAGTATAATTGCTAGCATATTGGCGTGGTGGCCGCAGCATTTTATGCGTGCTCCCTGCACCAGCCTCCGCATGGCAGGTGCATTAGGGACCTCGATAGATGGTTCATAGAGGTGATCAGAATTGCGACACGTTATCGAACATGCGAAAGAGGAATGTCCATCCGCTTGGTTGTTTATTTGTTTTGTTTGTTGATTGGTCCCATCCGGAAGTCGGTGGCGTGTTGTGGCACGTTGGGCTGACTGCGAGGCCCACAAGCCGCGATGGGCTGGGGAGACGACGGAGACATCCACGTTTTAAACCTGGCCGTCAATCAGGCACAGCCCAGAGCGCTTGGCCTGAAGCCCTGGCCCTCGACTGTGTCAGCAATACTCCGGGACGCCTGGGGGGCCGCGGAGCACACAGGGTGGCAGGTTGTTCAGAGATGGTGGGCGGGCACGGTGCCAAAATGTGCCAACGATTGCCGAGACACCGTGACGGGCTGGTCCGGCGAGCCCAGTGGAAATAAAAGTGCCGCGGCCCTCGAGATGGACAAGACACGGCTCATGTTCCCAGACAGCCAGCCCCTAGGGACGGAGGAAAGCGAGTGGTATGGAGTCCTTGCGCGCGCCTCCCGAGCTAGGACCCAGGGGGTGCTCGCCACTGTGACGGCATGCGGTGAAGCGTCGCAGCCGCACCCACGCACGTGCCACGCTACGGCTTCGTGCCTGGGTGCTTTGCTCCGCAGAGCTGAAAGGGCGGGTGAGCGGGTGATTGACAAGGGAGAGCAGCCGCCACGCCGCTGTTTTTTTTTTTAGGGCCATGAAAGGTGTTTGGCAACGCTGCGAACAAAATGCGCTGTCGGTTCGGTAGTGCGTCCAGCAGACTCGCTTTTCTATCCATGTGTTACGAAGGACCAAGCAGCTGGAGGGTGTGTGAGAATGGAACACAGGCTAGCAACCACTCCCTCTCGGCGCGGGAGTAGCCTCCAGGGCCTCGCTGCGGATGCACGGCATACGAGGAAAGCCAAGAAAAAGGCAAAGGCAAAGGCAAAAGACAAGGACAAAAGGCAAAGCCAGAGAGGCAAGATGATTCTTTGCCAGGTTAAAGTTGGACGACGCTCAATCCACAAGCATCACTCCACTGTGCTGTATTGCTGTTAGTCTTCTCGTTGACGTCGGTGTGGTCTAGATCATGGCCTCTGAGGAGAGCCTCCAGTGTAAATCGCATCTGCTTGGAAGAGCACAGGGGCGTGCACGGGTTTTGTGTGCAGCCACCGAGGCGGGATTATGTGTAGCACGCAGAGCAGCGAGCCAGCCCAAGCACCAAACGCTGGTAATAACGCAAGCATGGGTCGACATGGCAGCGGAGAGCGGCTGTATCGGCGGGTGGATCCCTGCCCCTTCAGGCTGACCGGGTCCAGCCCCTTGTTCGAGTTGGTTTTCTTTGTGATGCGGGCCCGGGGCTGATTGGCGAAAAAGGATCTTGTGAAGCTAGGGAGCCATGCGGACAGCATGTGGGCTTGGACTGCAGGGATCGTCCCGGCACCCTGGCCTGTTAGCGCCATGTCGAGGCGCCAGCCAGGGCGAAACAAAATGGGCCCGCCCATCGATCACCCTCGCTTGGGTGTGCAGGCTGGGCATTGGGCAAAACAGGTGAACGGGGAGGGGAGAAGGAAATGGAGAAAAGAACAGGAAAAAAAAGGATGAGAAAAACATTGAAGCTGGTCCGTGCATGGATAAGAACGGGCGAACAAAAGACAGCCAAGAAGGAGCCAAAGACATGGGGAGCTAAAGACAGAGACAGAGAGGCAGAGAGGCAGAGACAGGCGAGCTGCATGCTGAAAAACTCCTCTTGTCCCACCTTGAGAGCTACGATGGTCACCTCAGGACCCGCGCGGGCTGGCGGGGCACGCACATGCGGTGCTGAGAAAGATTGAGAGGGCACATCGCCAAAAGGCAGGTCGGTTGGTATCACACCAGCTCTGGTGGCAGTCGAGGCGCACAGAATGGGGGCCGCTGGCACACATTGTTGTGCCGCACAGCAAATGGAGGCCTGGCTGGAGGCTTGTACCAGCCATGTGCAATTAGCGGCCCCAGAAGCAAAGCGTGCAAAGCCCACCCGGCTGGGTCTCTCCTTACTCGGTCCAGCCAATCGAGGCGGGGGAGACGGTATTGGCGTGGCCATTCCCACGACCTCCTCCCCAATCGTTCCCACTCCCGGGCCAGTCCCGTCACCCACAGATCCTGTCCCACTTTTTGCTGTGTGCATGCAGCGAAAGAGGAAAAAAACGTGTCGCCGCCGTTCCTCGGTCGAAGGATCGACTTTTGGGGCTCCTCTTTTCCCGTCTCCACCACCCATTGTCGCTACACTGCCACGCGGTCGGCAAGCTTGACATGCGGCCAACTGCCCTACCACCTACACCTCCCGACCCCCAGCCAGTCCACCAGCAGAGGGCAGAGCATTGGGACCGTCACCGGAACCATCGTCAAAATCACAGTCACCATCTTCCTGCCCCTTCCGCTGTGCCTGCCACCCCCGGTTGCTCTCCAAAAAGCACGCAGGGCCTGCTCCTCTGCAAGGCGAGCTGGTGTCTTGGTCCGTCCGTCGCCCGCCTCGATTGGGCAGTTCAGGCCACTCGTCCGCCCCGTGTACATCGCTGCTACCTGGCCTGGCACTTACCCGCCCAGCTCCACTGCTAGGCACTAGGTACCGTCCCACCTCCACACCTACTGGTCCCTCCCCCCCCGACTTTACCTCTAATTTCTCAAGTTCCTCCTTTTGTTTGACAATCGCTCTCCTTGTGCTGTCGTCTGGAGCTGCGTCGGCCAGCAGCCTGTCACCAAGCATCTCGTTGCAGTGTTACGCAGAATCCTTTCTCACCCCTCTGCCGAGCCGCTCTTCCACTCTTTTAATTTCCTTCTCGTTCCTGGTGCTTTTGTCCTCGTCCTCACTTGTTTCCTTGTCCTGTTCCCGTCGCCACCCTCGCCCTCTTTTGCTGCTCGTCTCTCGTGTTTCTATCCCGCCTGGGCCTTGTCCCCGCCCTCGTTTCTGCTTGCTCTCACCGGGTCTTGGCACCTCGAGCTTGGTCGCTCGATCTTGTGTCCCGCACCGCCACGCGTCCCGGGTCACCGCACCAGGCGACATCGCAAGCACCGCGCCGCGCCGCGCCGCACCGACCGACCGACCGACCGACCGATAGACCGGCCCTAGACCCATCCAACACCGTTCTCGACACGGCGGGCCAAGAGGCTCGCCTCGGCCATTGAGCAAGACGCGCATACGCATCAAAACCACGGCGGATCCCACGGGCACTCTCGCCGCCGACCTCCTCACTGGGGAGAAGGAGATAATGATGGACCAGCGAACAGTGTCCCAAAAGCTTCCGGCCGGCCTGGCTGGTGTTCTCAACCGGCCAGAGGACAATCGAGACTCGGCATACTTTTCTGGCACCGACGCCTCTAGCAAACGTCAGTCCCTCGATGTCTGCAGGCATGGACGTTGCCGCTTCCCCTGTCCTTTTAGCTCTGCGACTCGTAACCGAGGCATCTCGAACATGGGACGGATGCGCAGCAACCGGCCCTCGCTCTCAAGGCGCATATAGCCTTGTAATCAAACCCAACTGACATTGAACTGATGGCAGACACCTCAGCCGCATCATGCGTCGGGGTGACCATATTCGGGCCCCGCGATGCAGGCAGTGGGCATCCGTCCTCGCATGGCGACAACACGCCGTCGCCAGTTAACACGTCGAACCTGATGCCGCAACCCCTCGTCTCGCCGGTCACGAGCAACATGAGCGTCGCCTCCATGGTTTCGCCCACAAGCCCCGCGGGCCCTGACCCTAGACAGCGCGACCACCGCCAGTCGTTCGAGTCGACCCAAAATGGCCACGGCTTTGGAGGGGCGGAGCATGGGGACCCCTCGTCACGGCGCGAGAGCGTCGACAGTCGCATCAACCAGGGCTTTGGTGAGATGAGGCTGGGTAACTCCCCATATGCTAGTGTCAACCAGTCGACAGCATCGATACAAAGCACACTGCAGCAGCAACGGAACCCGCGCCCCGCACAACTCGACAACCTGTCTATCCACCGCATCTCCAACGGCTACCAACCAAGCCAGGAGAGGAACCCAGACCCGCACCCCAAGATTGTTAGGACAGCCCCCGCCATCACCGGCCCCGCGACGAGCACGATTGCACGCGCGGCCGAGCCCACCAAGGGTCAGGCGTGGGCTTTCCCGGAGGAGGAAATCCAGCGGCTGCCGTCGGCGGCAAGCCACAGCCTCATCGACTCTAGGAGGAGCAGCGTTGCCGAGTCTCTGGCTAGCAGCCAGTTCACGAGCGAGTCGAGGCTGCCGCCGGGACAGCGACACTTGGACGACGGGTTGGGCCCAACGGACCGCTACTCGAGCGCCTCGGCCGACTTCCCCGCCGTCCACCACCATTCTCTCCAACACAAGCAAATTGGCGATCTTCAGAACGAGGCTGCGGGTATGCCAGCAGGATCTCAGCCGTACAGCAGGACGCCGGAGCTGCGGAGGAGCCACAAGCTGGCAGAACGCAAACGAAGGACCGAGATGAAGGAGCTGTTTGAGGAGCTGCGCGATCTGATGCCACAGGAGCGCGGATCAAAAGCCTCAAAGTGGGAGATTCTGACAAAAGGTATGCAAAAGTTTGCCCGGGCTCAATTGTGCCCGTCTGCGCCCTGAAAATCCCATGTGATTGCGCTTCGGTAGTGCGGGCGGGGGCTGGTAAAATACTGTTGGCTAACCCGTCACCAGCTATTGCCGAACACAAGAGGCAATCTGACACCATCAGGCTGCTGCACACATCCAACAGCAACCTGCACCAGGAAGTCGATGTGATGCGCCGCGAGATGCTTGTTCTGCGGTCGGAGAACACGCAGATGCGAAACGACCTGACGTTGAGCAATTCCGGCCACGGGCATGCCAATTCGCAAGCGGCCCCAGACCCGTACGGGCGAGGGCCGCCTCCGCGACCTGAGTTGCCCCCGCTGAGGGCCCTCAGCGGCGGTCTGCCCAGCGCACCGGAATCCATGACCGGTGTTCAGTACGAACAGACCAGGGTCAATGGGTACAGACACTGATGCGATGTGTTCAGTATCCATACCCTGCACGCATTTATTCCCAGAGGCAATCCTTATGAGAGAACACAGCAACCACCACCCCTGACACCAGTCGCTTCATGGCAAGGCAATATGGCTTGCCGCTCTTGATTATTGCTATTCTTTACCGAACCCTAGGTCGCGCCCTGGTGCAGTCTTGTGCAGGCATACTCGCTTACCTGTTCGCACGACCCCTCGAGCCTTCGCATCTATGTACTCTTTATCCATCTTCAGCGATCGCCTGTTGATGCCGCCGGCATCGCTATACTCGTGTCACGCGTCTGCGCAGCCACCAAATCGTGTGTACACATGCAGTCTCATATTCCCAACACCCTCGTTGACGGCCAACCTGGGCACACCCATCTAGATGGAACTTATCTTTTCTTTTGTTTTGAGATAGTGGCAGCGTATTCTTTTCTTCTTGCCTCCTTGTCCAGTACATCTTACTATTCGGTCTTCTCTTGCGACATGGAAGTCCAAATGCGTCAGAAAGAGAAGGGGAAAAAAAGGGAAGGACAGGAGGAAGACTCGGGCTGACGATCCGAGTCTTTTATAAAACCCTGATTCTCGGACATCAGGTATATGGGTTTTAAGTCCAGGACTTGGTTGGGCTCCTGTCGATCTTTGGTTTTTTTTTGTTGGCTTATCTTGCGGGCCTCGTGTATTTGTGGAGTGTATATACCCAACGCTAGTACTCTGCGACGGCAGAAGGGTCATGCCGCTGCGGCCGATCGAGGGTGTAACAATGGAATGGATAAATATCATGTTGCGGGTGGCAGATCTATCAACTCCTATGAAAAAATGTTGTCCCGGCGCGCTTGGACGTGGGTGATCGCGAGCCGGTAGGTTTTCTATACCTACCGGGGTTCCACCTTCTTGACCCCCTCCTGAGAAGGGGGCACAAAACCCCCATTATCCACTAAACCTCCATTACGCTTTTTATATGGAAAACCACCAACTTCAAATAAATTTAATATACTTAATAAAAAAGCAAATAAAATTTGGAATGCAATTTTAAAATAAGCGCGTTAAAATAAATAAAAGGAATATTAATATATATGTAAAAGGCTTGCGCTAACAGCCTACGCTTAGGTACAGCCGAAAGGAATCGATATTATTACGAAGAGTAGGAAAGAGAAAAGAGGCCTTTAGCCGGGTTTCCTCACGAGGGAGAAAACCCAGTCTCCTGGTGAGTCGCTGCGGGGGCGCCGTCATGTAACGTCTTGGGTGTGGCTAGGGTCTCCGCGGCGTCGCCGCCCGGGTGTAGCGGTGTGGCTCCGGCATAGCCGGAGCTACAACACGGGGCTTCAGCCCGTAACAATATATTTTTAATAAATTATGTAACAATGCAATTTTTTTTAAAAAAAAATAAAGCTCAATAATTTTTTTTTAAAATTTGCATTTTGTTTTCTTAAATTTAAATATTCCAAAAATATTTTGAATTTTTTAATAGCTTTTTTATTAAATGCGTTAGGTTTGTTCGAAGTTGGTGGTTTTCCATACAAAAAGCGTAATGGAGGTTTAGTGGGTCAAGAAGGTGGAACCCCCAGGTAGTACAAGCCATTGGTTCTAGCAGAGAACGGCAAACCGCGAGTGGCAAGGTTACATGTTGTTGCTATATGGAGCGCGTCTAGATTACGATGAGGAGGTACAAGAGAAATGGTGAACAGCATAAATGTAGCGAGAACCAACGAAGGAGGGGCAAAAAAAAAAGGGAATAGAAAGTGACGTCTTTAATCATCAGACATGTCATTTGTTATGCCATAAAAAGTTGCGGATTCCGTCCCACTCGTCGCTCTGGGCGTAGATGTACGTCATGCTGCTCCGGAGGCTGGGCTGCAGCTCGGCCGCGTGCCAGCGGAACAGGTGCATGACCATGCCCCAGCTGGCGGCGGCGAAGACGGGCCACGAGTAGTGGCTGATGCGGGCCGAGGGGCCCGGCTCCGAGGCCAGGGGCAGGCCGGAGCCGGGCTTGACGGCCAGGCGGGCGAGGGCCAGCACGACGCGGGCGAAGACGTAGACGACGATCTGCTGGTTGACGCTGCTGATCTTGCCCGTGCGCCGCGAGCGGCCCCCGAACACGAGGTAGCCCCCGAGCATGCCGGCGGCGAGGGTGTCGTAGGGCCCTGCGATGGAACCAAAGGGGGCGGGTCAGAAGAGTCGGGAGGGGGAGGGGTGCGGCAGGTAGGGAAAAGGGTTGGGCTCGTGTTGCCGGGACCGATGGATGGGCTGGGGCTGAACTCACCCTCCTTGCCCGGGGTTGGGCCATAATGCTTGAGCAGCAAGCATGTGAGCTTGTATATTGTGGCAAACTTTGCCAGGTTGCGCGCGTGCGTGCGGGTTGCTCGGTATACGAGCCCAATCTTTTCCCGTACGCTGGTTTATCTCGTCAGCAGAGCAAGGGTGTAACAGAGCGGAGGGCGAGGGTTAGGGTGGGTGGGAGCCTGGGAGAGAAAGAAACAGACAGGCAGTCAAGGGAGTTTGCGACTTACGTTCCTGACCGAAACAGACATATCATACTATACGCAGAGGAAGAGGACGACGAGGTGGGCGTCTTGTTAGCCTTGATGTCTGGTTGCATAAACACCTGACATGGTCGTTTATAGGTAGGTGGGTGGGTGACACTTCATGGCCCACACACTTATATACTCCCACACATATGCATGTCTATATACACACATACACACCCGCTTACACAAACGCACACATAAACACGCAACCTATAGATTATGGCCAACATGGACATAATAGGAGGGGGAGGTTGTACGTACACAAGCGCATGAGGAAAGCGGACCTTGGTCCCGTAGACGGCGCCGTTGCGCGCCGCCTTGACGACGGCGAGGACGTCGTGGTAGCGAGGGTCGAGGATCACGCGCTCGGCCGAGCTCTGCGGGTGTTTGCGTTAGCGGGCGAAAGGGGGCAAATTGTCGTTTCGTTCCCGAGGGGCGGCGGCGGCAGGTAAGATCAGGAACGTGTGGGCTTTTGTGTTAACAAAAAAAAACACGTACCTTGAGGCTCTCGAGAAGAGTGGCCGTCGCCATTCCGATGGCTTGACGCAAACGGGAGAGGGTAGGTGGTGTGTGGTGGTAGTGACGGTGGTGTGGTTGGCGACGGGCCAGCAGGAGGCGGCAAATGGCCGGGTACGCGGACGGGCCAGGGAAAGTCGGCGGCCCAATCGGCTTGCAAGAACAGGTATTGGCGAGAGTGAGATGGAGAGAGAGAAAGAGAGAGGGGGAGGTGAAAGGAGAGTGCGCGTGTGCGTCGTCGGGCCGAGCGAGCAATTCGAGAAGAGCTGGTGATGGAATTGCGAGATGGAAAGAAAGCCTTCCTGCCTATTACGGCACCCACGACCAAACAGAGATGGGGTTTGAGGCGCGGCTCAGATTTGACCGACGTTGCGCCCAGCTTCCCACTCACTGTTGGGGGTGCGCCGAGGTCAATGTTTGGGTGCGCAATGCCGTCGGCTCGGCTTGAGCTTGCTGTGGGCCCTTCCCCCTCTGTGCTCCCTGGCTCCACAGCTGCTGGTCGCATGCTCCTTCCCCACGATCAGGGGGTCTCCCGCTGCACGAAAACGTCAGGCAGGGGAAAGTGAGTCGCGCCAATTGGTGCGCGCTGCCATCAGGAAAACGCATGTGAAAGCCCACCTGATCTTGAGCTGACCCAAGCCCATGGGAAATCCCATCTTTCCCACACGTGGGCGCTCGGCTACAACATGGAACTTGAATGGTTTTTTGGGCTCCTTTTTGCTTTACCGTGTCATTCCATCTGTCTTCGTTTTATCTAGGAAGGTAGGTGTTCCCTTTTCCCCAAACCAAGAGTACGTTCATGATATAAATAGCTATTGCCCAGTTAAACCAACAAACCCTCTAGACCTCCAAGAATATGCCATGTTGGCCATGCCTTAACAGACGCGCCGCGCTCTCCGCGAGGGGTACCTGTGACCTGCTATGAAGCGATTTCGGTAGCGGCGGCCGCATTCCCACCGTCTCTCAATCCCAAACTCCGAGCAAGACAGAGCTATTCGCCCAGCTTGGACTCGGCTTTTCTAGCTCACGAGGCCCAGTTCTTCTTTTGTCGACGAGGGCGGCACTCAATACGCCACGTCTCCCAGCTCTTTTCTTGGTTCCCCGATTACCTCCAACGGCCTATGCTATAGAAGCTGCCGCTCCTGTTTCGGACCGGTGGCGGCGGCGGCGTAATTCCCATACCGCGGAGCCAGCCACCTCAGAATCTAAGAGGGCATAATCTGGCTCAGACCAGCAGCACCGCGTTCACGCATCCGTCGTTCTCCCTAATCGGCCCGCTTATTAGTAACTGAGCTTGCCTGCGCAGGGATAAAGAAGGACATGGAAAGAAAAGACGAGGGCATAAAGCTTACGGCGAGTTCGTGATCTGGGCATACCTTCCCCAAGCAACTAATCACGTCAAATGCGAGTTAGCAGTTAGGCAGATGACAACGCCAGGCAGGACATCTTACCCTTGTTCCCGGCCATGATTCCCAGCTCAGACACGTTGACCTCAATGACAGTTCCCTTGGACAGAACACCCAGTTGCGTGCTTCAACGGCCAGGTCAGTAAGCGTTAGGGGCAAACAGGTATCACACTCCGAAAACATACTAAAGAGGGTTTGACGGGTTCTTTTTCACTGTTGTTCATGTCAGCGCGCTGAGCCACACAATACCACAGGCACATTCACACATAGGTGGCACATACCTCCAAGGATTGGTAGATGAACCGTGACGTTGAGCTGTGTATCGATTAGTTGGAGCCGCGCCAAAGATTCATCGTTTATCCCAAGCCGTACTGACTGACCTCAGGGTGAGTGACATGGGCCTTCTTGTATCGCAGGCCTAGACCCGTTTGAAGAGGCTCAGTTAGTCATTCAGTCGCTCGAAAGATCACGAGGGCCAAACCTCGTCGGGCCTGGGCCCTCGCCCCTGTGATATAGTTTCGGGGCGCCTACCCATGGGCCTGATGAAGCGCTCGTATTTTGGATTCCTGTGGGCATGTCAGCTCTCTGCGATTTTCGAACCCGACAAGCGAGGGGTGGAAAGTCTCAAGGCTCCCACGTACCGTCTCGTGAAATTTTGGCCGACAAAGGTGGGCTTGGTAACCATCCTCTTCCACGATTTCCTCTTGGACTTGCCCGTCGTGACAACCTTGAAGAGCTCCTCCTCGCTGATACCGCGCACTTTCGGGATGGGCACCTGTTGGCAGCGCCGGCCGTTAGCTATGCACACGGGCGGTCTCGAGTGGGCCTGGGAGCGCCACGGGGGTCACGTACAGAGAACTTGGCCGCCTTCTCAGCGCGTGCCTGCTTGATAGAGGACGAGAGACTGGCGTCGGGCCGCAGCGTCAGCAAGCGGTCCAGCCACGGGTGGGAGACAGGGGCCATTTAGCACACCGCGCATCCACTCTACTTACGCCTTGGACGCGTTGGGGGTGGCTCGGTCGAGTAGGTAGGCCGGGACGGGGTTCGAGGGCTCCTTGTCGGCGGCGGCGCCCTTGACGTTGCGCTCCTCGTGCGCCCTGATGGCCTTCTTCATGCGGATCTTCTCCTTGCGCCGTCCCTCGGCGAACAGCTTAGCCTTGAGGCCCCGCAGGTTCTGCGCCTTTGCCGACTTCTCGTGGCCCTCGGCGCGGGCCGCCCGCTTGCGCGCGCGCTCCTCGTGGTCGAGGCGGACACTGTAGAGTGGGAGAAAGAGAAGAAAAAAACGGTCAGCTTGCGAAATCGGAGTGGGGAGTGTGCGGCGCACGCTGGGAGGACGACGCCGACTTACCCATGCTGCTTCTTCCACCGCTCGATGTACTCGTTTTGGGGCTGTTTCGATCGCCATGGCGGCGGGTTAGCGTTTTTTCCCCTCTCCTCGTTCCGTGGCTCTCGTATAGTCGTCGCTCTATCGGCCGTGGTCGCCGCGGGGGCACCTGGGGTTCCAACGCACCATTGTGACTCTGTCGCCGCTTTATCGCTGGCTATTGCGGAGTGTTGATGACAAAGTCGGAATCTTGAGCCTCAATGAATGCTGGCGGTAAAACCCAACATACAAATCTTGAGTGAGGTCCGCAAAATGGGGCAGCCTGAGTGGCAGAAAGTAGAGTTGAGTGGGGCAGCGGTGAAAAAAAAAGGGAAACGGGTAAAAAATAACCCCCGACGCTCATTGAGCGAGGATCTACGAGGTTGTGAGGAGAGGCAAGTGTATGAATGTCCTACAGCGACTGTACACACGACATAATGTTCACCTTGCCTTCATCGCAGAGTAGTTGAGTCATAGTATGTTTAACAATTACTATATTCCTCGTCGAGAAGGCCCCGGCGTGAGTCAAAGCTAGTAGTCACCACGAAGGTTGGGACACGATGAAGATATAAACAACCC